TTTTTTTTTTTAAATAACGTTTGTTATCGATTGAAATTTAAATTTTAATATTTAATCTCCACCAAATAGGGATAAAATAAAAATAAATTTGAATTTCGAAATATACAAATTTTAAAAATTCTCCGACAATCGTACGCTAATCGAATCTATAAATTGTTTGTATCATTTCGAACATTATTTCAATAGTTACATTATGGACATATCGAATAGTTCAAACATATATCGAAAATAGTTAAAAATACCTTAAACGTGAACCTTTAAAAATACGTCTAACTCGCATTTAAAAAAAAATTTATTATTTCATTAATATTTATTATTTTTGCGATACAAATTTCTCAATATAATTTTCATCTTTTTATTTTGAAATTTTCAAAAAATTTCGAAATTTTACATCCGAAAAAGTCATATCTCATATAAATTTTTTGATATAAAATTACATGGAGTATGGTTTTTTTGGACGTAAATTTTTTATTGTAAAATTTCTACCAACTTCTTTACAAGTTCGATCGTGCCCCCCCAACGTTAAAGTTCTGCGTCCGCCCCTGAATAACGGTCATATTTTTCATTTTTATGGATGAAAAATGTTAAACAAACCGGGGATTACCTTTTAAATTCTTTCTTATCAGAGTTTGCTTGACCAAGTTTTAGTAGATTTAAAAAAAAAATTAAAATATGTGATTGAATCGTCATAATAATTTATAAATGATTGATCTTCATTTTCATCGAAATATTTTAATCGATTGACAATTGCTATTCGGTTATACACATTTCTACATATTTATAAAAAAATAAATCGTTTATAAATTCTTCCTATTCATGAGAATTATTTCATAAAAGATTTTATCTCTTAGACTATTTCAATAATATCATCATTAGTTTGAATTTATTGACACATATTTATACATTAATTGAACCGTTCACGTAACTCTTCAATTCCATGGAATACAATGTACCAAGTACTTGATATATACATTGCATTTACTAGTGGATACAATGCGTTAACAAGTCTAAACTGTACAATATCTTCTATATATTAAAAGTGGCTATGTAATGAAATTTCCTGTTTTTAACGAAAAAACTAACGGAATTTGTTGTTTTAACGGATTATGTAACGGAATTTCTTGTTTTAAACAGGTAGCTGCACCTTCCTTCGGTATGTTTATCATAACTTTGTATTCTGATGTCCGATTGAGGCGATTCAAAATGCGTTGGAAAGCTAACTCATCTGGCTACAACTTTGATTCAGATATCATTCTCCAATTCGATTACTATCTATGCCAAAAATAGGTCTCAATATGAAACTAAAATATCGGAGCATAACTTTTCGGTTAGAAATTGATTTGTGATCATCTTTTGATTAAATTTGATTCCATTGACTTCTTCCTTTATCCAATTGACTCCGAGCACTCTCAAATCTTTATCGTGAGGTTNCTCAAATCTTCATCGTGAGGTTCGGCACAACTTTTAAGTATTTACATTTTAGTCCCCGAACTTTGGATCCCTTACAATTTAGCCATTTCTCCAAATTTGTCAACTTTTGCTTATTTTCTTCGATCTCACCAACTTACATTACAACATTAAAATCACACATCTAATTATTTATCAATTACATAAACATTTCATCATTAATTATGTAATTAATCAAAAAAATTACATCTTTATTAATAACAAATTAATTCTTAAACAAAACTATTAAATATAAACTAGGCAAACGTGCATTGCACGTTGCTTGCACCTAGTATGAAGTATAACTACTAACTTTGCATAAGAAGCTCGGTACAAAATTAGTGGAAGAGAATGAAAAGTCAAGAGGAACTAAGTACGAGTGAACATAGAGAACTCAAGCCACTGATAGTAGATAAGAGATTCAGAATGAGGAGTGGAGGGAAGGGGTAGGCCTGTGCTAAGTCAATTAATTTTAATTTTTTAAGGTAAAAGGAAAAATTGTCCTCCTGGCTCCACCCCTGCTCAAAACCCATTTCCCGACTTATATTATATAAAGTGGCCAATTTCTTTTATTTTCTCCATTTTATATCCTTTGATATAATTCGTTTGTTTTAAGGTAAAAGGCGAAAAATTATGAAGAATGTTGTAAAGATTCAGAAGACAAAAGGAAATCAAGTTGTCAAATGTTTAGTAAAGTAGAGTTTTCACGTGTTCAATAGTCATATTTCACGATGCAAGTGAGTAGTCCCTACTTTTTTATTGGCATTGAATCTTTGGACCGTGGAAGGCTCTTTTTTGCCTGGTTCATGTTTATCGTTCATGTAAAGTTAAAAGTTACTTTCTCTATTTAATAAAGATAAGATTGCTTCATATTTTTACACAGATTAAAAAATATAAGTAATATAGTTCGAACAACGCTTTCTACGATGTGCTTGGCTTCAAAAATATGAGCACGTAAAAAAAAAGAGTCACTTAACATTTGCTTGATTTCTGGGTTCGTTCGAGCATTTACCTTTTGTTATTAAACCTATTTTGGAAAATTTCACTATTCATAAATAGCAAGGGGGATAATGTTAAGAAGTGCCCGGTAAAAATTTATTTTTTTATTTTTACCATCAATTTCGATCACGTTGGGCGTTGGCCGATCCAATTTACTTTTAGGGTCCACTTGAAAAGGCTTTTGAAAATTCAAAAATTATTTTTGAGAATAAAGCTATTTTTAAACTTGTTTAGATAAATTTCTGAAAAAGTTTTGTTTGGTTTGAAGAATTTTTTGAGAAAGTTACTCTAAGTGATCGAGTTGTTGGTAAAGAGAGCAATCATGACACCAACTTTCTGAGTATTGCTTGAGGTCGGAGGTCATCCCAATTACTACAACCACTATTCGCGATTTATACGTGTGATCTATACTAGTTGATGTGCTCACGATATTATGATAATATTTACCTCTTGAATATGATATGGTTAATGTTCTCTACTCCCCCTATGTGATTCTAGGAAATAGATTAGAGTTAAAACATATCATTTTCGTACACTATAAGATCCGTAGCCTCGAGATGACATGATGTCACATGTCCACTTCTCCTAACATTTTTTTCGTCCTTTAATGAAATCAAATGGTAAATGAAGGCACCTTCAAATTCACAACTTTTACCCGTGTACAAAAATTATACAACTTTGAATTTGTTACCAAAAATAAAAACATAAAACATGTATATAAAATTACTATAAGATAGATAGTCCTCGCCCCATCAAGAATTTTCAGGAGACGGGACAAGATGAAAAAATCTTCACGTACTGTCATGTTTAAGTATTTCTTATTCTTTTAAACACGATTTAAATTGAACAAAATAAGTAAATTCGGGTGAGTTTGAAGAGTGAAGCTGGGACTACGTTTTCGTCCCCGTGCCATTTAGTATCTGGGGGCAATGCAAAGTTTTCTACCCCTAGATCACACACAATTAAACCGTTGTTTGGGAGAGAGAATTTCAGAGATTATTTTTTTCACACTCATTTTCAATAAAATTATTTTCACGTTTTCCCGTAAATTCTCCATCTTTTTTAACCACACATTCTACAAAATTTCATTTCTCGCATAGAGAAATCTTTTCCCTAACAAACGCTATAATGTGCTCGACGTAGAAATCATTAAAAATAGGAAAGCACGAGAATAGAAAAATCATCTCCTTTGTTGGCTAAAAGTGTAATTTGAAACATCAAATATATTCAATATGTTTTGTATGAGAACCTGCTTATATTGCCACCATGTATACCGACATGTAATAACATTGCTTCCCACTCATTATTGGCTAAAAGTGAAATGTGCCCCATCTATCAAATATGATCCATTTTATATGAGAACCATCTTAAACGAATATAGTAGGATAGTAACATGAACGAATTAGAAAACTAATCGAAACAAATGTTGGTGAAGATGAGATTAATGATCCAATGAGTAGTTCAAATTAAAGTAACATCGACTCTACAAATGAGATCTATGGAAAACACGATTTTGTTCGAGTAATTAGCACCCTATACACCACTGATTTTACTAAATACATATAGACAACATACGGACTTGATATAAATAATTAACAGAATTTAAAAAATGTAGTGGTTTTTTTAATTTCTTATAGGCCTTCATCGACTTATGTGCCTTCCTCACACTCTTCGAAACTAGATCATATCGGTTTCATATTGAACGATGCGCTTTTGGTTCCCACACTTGTTTAGTTGAGACGCCAAGTATGTCCTTGTGATATTTCGAGAATAAGTGAAATCTTTTGTTGATGTGAGGCTATTTAATATCGCTAGTATGTTGGTTACTTATGTTAGTGGCTAGCAATTGAAAAACGCGATGGGATGTTACACAAATCAATTTAGGCACTGTTTGTTTCGGATTAAAATCATATNTAAAATCGTATGAATCCTTTGCAGGAACATTTAGGACCTGTTTGGATCGGATTAAAATCTGATTTTAATCTAAATCAAAGTCAAACAATCAATATTAACCACATCTTTCATGTGTTTCGCAGTTTTTTAACCACACATTTCAAAAATTTCTATTACAATCTTTTAAAAATATGAATTACTTAAAGCATATGTTATGCCGGGTGACGCAGTTAGGATATATTAGTACCATAGTCGTATCAAGAAAAGTTTTCTTCATTCGATCTGTATATACAAAACTGACTACATGGACCCTACATATAAATGTGATGTGACTGATTGCATGGACCAGGGACGTAGCCAGGATTTCAATTTCGCAAAGCGAAAATACGGGGAGGGGGGCCCCCGAATTTTTTTTATTATTATTTTTTTTTTTAACAAAGAGGATTTAAAACTACGATTTCGAGTACCAAAATAGGCATGTTAGATTGACTGACCACAAAGTCAATCAGTTTGTCGATACAAAAATAATATGTCCATCTATGTGTCTAACGTTATACAAATTGAAAACATGAACGTTAAATAGATATCAAAAAGACAAAAAGTAAACTGTCTATCTATATAAGAGATGGTACAGATGGTTTGGACATCTAAAATTGATATATCCTTGTCCTCATCACTTCAAACTCGTCAATAAGAGAATCTAATGGAAAAATATCAATAATCTCCTTCTCTATATACACAAGCATGATATTGGACAAAAAATCATTTTTCATTCTATTATGCAGCCTTGTCTTAATGACACTCATAGTTGAAAATGTACGTTCTGTAGTTGCTGTTGAAACCGGAAAAGTAAAGACAAGACGAATCAATTTATCAACAAGATTATAATTCATTGATTTTCTTTTCAATCCCAACTGTTGGCACACATCTATTGGATATGGGCTATTTATTTATTTAAGTAACTATTTGATCTTTTGTTTAGGTCTAAGATTTTTGTATGGTCGAATTTTAAAGTGTAAGTTATTGTGTCAATATTTATTAATAGAAAAAAAAATTTCAAAATTTTTGCGGGGGCGAAACTAAAAAATACATTACAAATTAACTAGAAATAGTAGACCAGCGGACAATGTTGGAGGGCAGTCGCCCCTCTCCGTCTCTAGCATGGACACTACTTAATTCATCCTCTCGTAAAAGCTATTGCCCAATTTGATCTTTAGCCACGTCAAGCTTTATTTGATATCGTGAGAGTAGATTTTTGCGGGTCATTCTACAACATAACGAGGGATGATTTCTTCAAAAAGTAAACCATTAAATTTCAATAAATATGTACATTGATTCAAAAGGAATAAAGAAAGCACAGTGTAATTAAAAAAAATCAGTTTGACATCCCCAAAATAAATTTGATGAAAGTCAAAATTAATCTCGCTAGATTACACTTAATTTTAAGAAAGTAAGATTTCATGTGCCTTTATAAATTGAGAAAAATGACTAAGCAGCGATGATAAATGAATAAAAGTAAAATTGGAATATGTTATATTTAGAGATTTTGAATCTGGATAGAATCACGTATTTAGTTAGCACAAATTTGGTGTGAATTGAATGAAAACGACACTGTAAAGGGCTTAGAGAATTTAGGATTGGAATTGGGACTCATATGGTAGGATAAGCAATATGTGGATTGATTGAGGATTTTAGATCATTTGGTTGAACTTAATCGATTAAAATGGATAGATTATCGTTAGTTAATTGAATTAGTTTGAGGAGTTAAGTGATTTGAATTTATTTTTTTATGTATAGAAATAAAATATGTAGATAGTAAAAGTTGAATAGTTAATATAAAGGGAAAAATTCATAATTAAGAGGATAAATATCATCCATTTCAAAATTAAGAACAAATGTTTCAAATTTCAAAATTTGGATACTAATTAAAATTTATTTATTTATTTATGAATGAATGAATGAATTAATTATATTAAGGTTACAAATCTATATAACTTGGTCACAAATTAACGATTTAATTAGTTACGTATTATTTTTCGATCACAAATCAGAAATTTTATATGTCATAAATTATTTTACAATCACAATTCAGAAATTTTATAGGTCACAATTTGTTCATCAATCACAAATCACAAATATTATAAGTCACAACTTAGTAGACAGTCATAAATTGTCAAATTACCGGTCACAAATAAAAAAAAAATTAGGTCACACATTATTTTTTTGTCAGAATTTATCTTTTTCATTGATCACATATTATTTATTGATCACAGATTAACCAATTTGATGGTCACAGTCAATCAAATAATCCGTGACCACAACCAACGCTTGACTATCACTGCACCACTCCCTCTAGTAGTAGCACCGCCGCCTTCGTCGCCTAAACCACCACCTCCCGATAGCAACACCACCACCTCAAACAAATCAACATATCACAAAAAAAACCACAACATCGTCACGCCATCCACTACCACCTCGACAGACCCATCGTCACCACCACCATCCTTCACCACCGCATCCAACAACACAACCATCACAAATTAACAAATTTATATTTCACAATTACTCAAATAATTGGTCACATACGCTCTTCGCCATTGCCACCACCTACTACACTACCACAACCACCATTATTATCATTTGTAAACTAACTCCCAATTTGTAATTGTAAGCAGAGGCCTATAATTTCAAAAATTACACTAGAGGCCCTTGCCCTCAAATCATTACCCAAACTTTAATTTTCCCTTTTTCTCTACGGTCGTCAACATCATCGTCGCTTTGTTGTCGTTGGGCAGCGTAGCTGAGGAACTCTACAGCTCGCAGCGCCGACAACTCTACTATTACCAACATTGAGCAACTCTACCATTCGCAGTCACAGGACACTAGCTTTCGCAGTTTTGCTTTCAACACTAGTGTCGGTTGCTGCAAAAATGCGTTGCAATGTACAGTTGAGCTTCAGCGAGACAGCATCGCGATGCTGTTCAGTTGGCACGGTCACACGCAGGCAGCGTCACTGTCGCCACGTAGTAGTGTTGTGACGTAGCACCGCACGTAGCGATGTGAGTACCGATGCAAGTGCTGCTTGATCGTGAATTTCCAGTTGAAGTCTTTCGATGACGATAAAAATAGAGAAAAAAAAGGAGAGGTAATCAGCGGGCGCGAAAGAAGGGAGGAGATGGAAGAGGAAGAGGAAGAGGAAGAGAAAGAGAGAAAATATTACGATTTGGATTAAATTTGGTAATCAGGGATTGTGATGAATTTTGGTGGTAAATTTCGGGAGTTGGGTAATGATTTGAGATTTTAGGATTTTTAGGGTTTGGGTAGTAGTAAAGATTTGAATTAATATCTGATTTTTGTATAAATAAATTTTATATCTGATTTGTCAAGATCAATGTACCGAAATTTGCGAAATTCCATGGATGCAAATGAATGTATCACCTTTTATGTACATATAGCCCTTCTTTGACACACATTATTTCAAAACTCATTTTCAACCACATATTTTTCAACAAAATAATATTTTTCATCACATCAATAATTTTTTCTTACTTTTTAACCACATATTTCTCATCATATTACTATTTAAAATACATTCTTTCATCAATAATATCTATCTAACACACCCGTATCATGATTCCAAATCAGATATTGTTCATGCTGCACTGTCATTCTCCTTGCCAGATGGATTGACATAATGCTCACATGATATTCTATTTTCATCAACTCATTTACATCCACCTACACATCATCTAGAGAGATGGTAGAAATCATCTGGGAAATAGCAAAATTATATACACAAAGTACGAAGGCTAAAAACATGAAAAAAATAATAAAAATAAAAATAATAAAAATGTGAAAGCATTAGATGCTTGGTGTCTTCAATGGGCCAGGTGGTTGAAAATTAAAACCTACCATTGTACGAAACAACAGCCAACGAGAATACGCCACGTTGTCAATTCAACAACCACACGGCATGATAAATTCAAGCAAAGATGTTTGACTTTTACTTCTCATCAATAAATTCTTATTTGGCATTCCCCTCACTGACCATTTCAATTCAAATTGCTCTAATTTGAAAGTGGACCATTTTTTACTCATTGACCATTTTGCCCTTGTTTTGCCCATGTTTGGCCCCTACTAAATTTTAATTCATTTTTATCTCTTCCTTTCATCAACCACGTACTTTTTCAATAAAATAATATTATGTATAAATTCAATTTTTTTATTTTTATCTTTCAACTAAGCATTTTTCAAGAACACTATTTGAAAATCAAATTTATTCAAATAATGAAATTCAAACGAAGGCTTGGATGAACAAAGGACAGAAAAGTAAATAATCATATGTTATGGTCAAACCTCAAAAATCATTAAAGATTATAACAGTATTACTAAAGTCATAAAGCAGATTACATTTAACAAAAAAACAAAGGACAAAATAGTCAACCAAACCGGCCGATGACTGACGGTGACACCAGGAACCACCGCGAGATGGGCGGACTGGATTAACCCCC